CGCGCACAATACAACCCCTAATGGAGCGGTGTGCGGCCATGTCAGATCGCGCCGTGCCAGGCAGTCCGGTTCCCCTACCGGACTTAATTTTCTTTTTTTAATTAAAACGTTTTTAATATGAATTTTTTGCAGTCTTGTTTTACAGCACTTAATTGTCTATTTTGAAGTCTGGAATAACGTGTATATATATGTGTCGGAGATGAAAGAACACCGGGACCTTCCCTTTGGAATTCTTCGGAAAACCCACAATACTTTAGTCTCTATAATTTAACTCGATTATAATTGCCCGAGATTTGTGATAGTGAGCTTGGGCTCGAGGCGATAACCAGTCGCTGAACGTAGCCGCGGTCACGGGATGAACGTTTTTACATACGAACATAGGGATGGAGTAATTTTATAGCTCTCCTTAACCTTTAGAATGCTATGGACGCATATATGCGTCTGGCAAAATCTATCGGTGTGGACTAAGGACACATATATGCGTTTTCTGTAAGTGTCCGGCATGGACTAAGGACGCATATATGCGTTTGTCAATTTTTCCGAACACCTCAGAAGTAATACTATTACGTTTGTGTGAGATAAATATAAATGCATTCCTTATATATAATGCATATATTTTATATCAAAAATCTACTGCTTCGAAACAAAAATTTAGTGAATTTCATTTAGCGTTGATAAGAGACATTTTACGAAAATATTTTCAACGTAGAAGCATGCTAGAAGGAGGAAAGAAAAAGTCTGAGGATTTACCATTTCGTTTAATTGATAGCCATTTTCCATCAAAATGCCCTAATCGTGCCGGCACAACACAATTATCAAGAAGAAAATGTGTTGTTTGTGTGAAAAATAAGAGAAGGAGCGACACGCGATACGAATGCAGAAAATGCGATGTCTGATTATGTATCGACAATTATTTTGAAATTTTTCACACACAACTGAATTATTAACTTGTGTTATATTTACTAAATTTAGTTTCCTAGTTTATTGTTTTCTAGTTTATTATCCAAATTCTAGTTTATTGTAAATTTCAATGTTTATAATAAATAATTAATATTAAAAAATAACGCTCTTGAATCATTTAATCTCGTGCAAAAGAATTACTATAACTTATTACGATTTGTGCTTTGAATAGTCAATCAACAGAGTTCAGTCAGGCGAAAAAGTACTCCGTCCACAGCGATGGTCAGCGCTGGCCGCGCGCTGTCCGTACGGACCGCATAGGCCGTAGGCAAGAAATAGTTGTAGCGGCACGCGACAGTAAACATTTCAACGGTTTCTGTCGGAGATGTCAATGCATCTCCACAGTACATGTTCAGCTAGCCTGAGGAGCCGTTATAAATCTTAGGATTTAGTTAACTAGAGTCCTCCAAACGGACTAACAGTGTTTATCCTAACAGTCCCTAAATCTACCACCTACTACGGGAAGATACGGGAAATTTGCTTTTCTCACGAACGACGCTTTCCCCTAGCAACTTTTTCTCAAAGGCGGTTAGCATCCTTCTTTAACCACCAACATAGGAATTAACCAATTAACAGGAACGTCTATTTCCCTCACTTTCCGAACGAAGGTTTTCCTCGATGAATCCGATGATCTCGTGTCCTTAGATGCATCCCATCATAGTTCTCCTCTGCAGTATCATCGCGACAGAAAGTCATTCTGTCGTGAGGTCGCATTAGCGAGATACATAGCGTCTTTACGCTTGGTGGATATTTTATGTTTTAACAAAGAGTTAGTTCAGTAATACTTGTACCGTAGACAAGCAAGTTGAGTACAACTTGGACTTTGGAAGAAAGCGCATTTGGTTATCCCGCTGACCGCGGATTCGTTATTGAACGTAAGATCATTGTCATTAGCATCTCGAGTATCTAATTATCACGGTTATTTGTCAAATTCTGTAATAATCATATTTGCACTAGTAAATATTTTCTCTATTGCATAACAACAATGTCTAATCCAAATGAAAATTTGCTTCACGCCCCTATCCTTAATCATAACGTGAACCCGACATATATATATAACTATAGAATAAAATTAATAAAGGGAATAAAGGGAGCAATGACGTAAATGCACTCTGGTCAATAAGGATATGTCAGTATATCATTGGCAGTTTTCAACATCATATTATATAACCTTATCTATCTTATATTATAATCCTATATATTTAACCTTATACACCATTTTAATAATCAATAAGTGATTTTGAAATTTAGGCAAAGAATTTTTATATTCAAATGAAACAATTTAATTTCGAAACAGCCAGATGTAGCGAAACTACAGATCGGTCACTCAAATTAGGACAAATTTGCCACAATTCTGACAGTTTCTCTTATTTATAATTTGTCATAAATTTCGAACGCAAAAGAGGTAGAGTTTAAAAGCAAACTTAATTTGTTGTAATTGTATTAAAATTCAGCACATTGCTCAAGATACCAAAATTTAAAAAATTTACAAGCGGTGTTCGATGTACGCTATTACTTATATTTGTATGGTGATTTAATATTCCTTTCGACGTCACCTCTAATCCAGATATGACAATTAAATTGTGCCATCGGCCACCAGCAATAATAACTCTCTTGAAATAACATCTCAACGAAAGAAACACAGGTTGAAGACATTCCGCAATTTTGCTACTCTCGAGAAGCATTCTCTAATCACCAGTTCCATCAGAACGACAGAAGTGGTTTTCTGCTGCGTTACGTAATTAATAATCTTCTAGAAGTCAGATAGCTAGTTCGAGAGCGATTTTTCTCTCATGATACGTGCGGTCGCCTCGCGTATGTATTAATTAAAATTCACAAAACCACTCGAGCCATGTAATGAAGGAATCTCTCAAACTTTAATCAGCTAAGCACGTTTCGTGGAAGTTGACATGCTCAAAATATCACAGACATACATGCACATCTAGGTGTATGTAAATGTTTGTATATTGGTCGTGAAAGCTATCGTGTTTCTCGATCTTTTATATTTTTCACTTTCGTCCGCTCAAGGCTGCTCCAATTAACGGAAGGCGTTGGCTATTGGCGCGAAACGCGTCACGTTTCGGATCTTCGGAGCTCTTTACGATTTCTGACGGATCGTGGTCTCGAAGAAGCCACTTCTTTCGCTGAGCACCCTTCTTTCGGTCGCTTTGACCGCTCTCTTGGCGCTCGTTAATTCGAACGACAGCCGATACTCAGGCATCGTATTTTAATTATCCCGTGATAGAAGCTACGGCTCGTGTCGGACTACTTTTACCCGTAATTAATACTTCACGATCTCCCCTAAGGCTTTCTCTGCTAAGTATGACGAGATTCTTGCTTGAATCACACTTTCCTTCTCTTTTTATTCTTTATCTTTTTTTCCAAACTGTAATGATCGCGCTCGTAATCTTCTATTTGACCTCGACTTCTTCGTTTTGCTTCTTCTCCTTTTCGTTTTTTATGTATTTTCAGAAATTTGCTGATTGACATCTAATTGGTAGGTCAATTATTGGTTGTTGATGGAATCGCGTGAAAAGAGACTGCTTGGTTCGCAGTCGGAGAAGGTGTAAGTTTTTTTCTAGTAAAATTTTATGAGTTAATAATTTTCGATCATTACGTGGTTAAGTCATTCTAAAGATTAAATTAATAAGTGCCATAATTTATATTTCACGTAAAAGAGCGAAGATAGAATCATAAGTTTCTTCAATAATTAGAATCGTTCGCTTTATCAATTTTCTATTGCATTATAACAAATAGTTTCATGGTAACTAATCAAAGCGAGGACGCTTTCTCACTCTTTCTCTCTCTTACTCCTTTTCTCTCGTGTGCGCTAATTATTGGTATATAATAATGCGTACTGCAAGTAGATTTAATTAGAAGCGCGTAAAAAGTACTTGGAGCTTCGTAGCTATATGACCGCGCTTCATTCCTTTGATAATGTTTGTCTATTGATTTCTATTTGTCATATTATTCTGTGCGAAAATTGGAAATATATAAAAATAAAGAGTACCAGACACATTCTGCTATTGCCAAACGAGAACAATATTATCTTGTTAACAACGAACGAAGAATACTTACCAACGTAAAACTACGCTCGTATTCCATAAAAATTCAAGGAAATTTCTATTCTTAATGAAGCTTGTTCTGCTGGAGCAGCCATTTAACCCCCGTTCGATATGAATCTTTGATTTCTTTGAAGTTTGCAGTCGTTATGAACTGTGAAGATCAGGATGAGCCTGGCCGCGAGAAGCACGTGCTACGTCGAAGGTAGGGAAGTTGAAAATACAGTCTCAGACGAAGGTACACGCGTGCAGAGGTACACGAGCGATGGCTCCTTTGGCCCGGTACATAGCGAAGTCGATGGCAGTGGCCCAAAGAGAATTTCCTAGTAGCGCAGGTCCTGCACGGTTGGCAAGCGGCAGTCACTTGGAGTTACCTTTAGAACTCACCTTTTCCTCCCCTCGTGTTTCTCCATTTTCTTTCCGTTCCATTTATTTGCTCGTGTATACGCGCATGTAAATCTAGGCTACATGAGAACCCGGAACGTGGCTTCTCTGCGTGGACGACCACGCTGTTCTGCATTTATTTTTATGGACGCCGTTGTAAACAAGTATCGTAACGCTTTGTGCTCCGGACAGGGAACAGATTCTTACAGCATAGCGTCGGAAGAATTCTGTGAGATCGTGGTTCTTGGTTTGTCGGTGAGTTGTATGGAATGTATAATACATGATTTAATTGTGCTGTTTTCAGTATATTCTATTTTGTAATTTGTATAATACCGTTGTACTCAAATGTTTTACAGTTATCCAATCTTCTTTAAATTTTAATTTAGCGTGGATGCCAATTTATCGATACGACTACCTACAGTATACGATTAAGAACTTTATATAGTTTGAGTTAAACCTAAGTTACAAAAGTTACAATTATATAGTTGTATATATATCCCACCGCTTCTCAAACTCAAACCTAACTTGAAAAATCCGCATCGTTAACTCGTTAGATATTAACGTTCAACGTATCAAGAAAGGGGACACAAAGTTAGAGAAATGAGACGTGCATAAGACACGTGGAGTAAATCTTCGTTCGATGTCTTGACACAGCAAGAGGATTTGCTTCTGAGGTTTGGGACAGAGTTTAAGGTAAGCGCGAAGGGTAGAGGAATACAGATGCAACTGTACAGATCGTTAGAGGAATCGCGTTCGAACTCTCGAAACTAGCGTTCTCTCACTGTAGGGAATTCTTTAGAATGGCGGGTTTCTTTAGAGGTAACGATCTTTCTCATTTTTGCTAGTTCCGTTTGCCTCTTGCCCAGCCATTCGTATCTACGCCTCCGCCACCCCTTTCATAGATCGATATTTCGTATTCCAGAGTATAATTCATAATAACGTTTGAACGGCGCGCTTAGATGTTAAAGAATCGGTAAGTGTATTTCGCAAATCGGCCTTCTTGTTTATCGAGTATCTTCTGCAGCAATTCACAAGAAATTCTAAGCGAATCTTGATGTTTCTTTGAGAGGATTTATTGATTTTTATTGACTTCATACAGCATTTATTAACGAAGAAATTTTGAAACTTGCCACGTGTTAAATTTCAATATATGAAAACTAGGTCAGATTTCAGAATGAATTTTTAAATAAATTTTACGTCACTGTTTCCACTGTTTTAAAATTCCCCCACAATCATTTTATACTTTTCAGAAAGTTCCTCCGCACAGTAACTTACCATTAATGTTTACTCTAATCTCTTTCTTTAAAAATTTCCTTTTAACTACTCTATTAGAAATAAATGGAGGAAACATTTCTTCTTCTTCTCCTTTCGAATTTGAAACCATTCTATGCCTTGAATAACGTCATTATCTTTCAACATCGAAACTCGTTTCGACCACGTAGCATCAGTTCGTATTCTTGTTCGTTCTTTCTCCCATAGAACGTACTCCATGAAATAATGCTATTCAACGAAGAAGACGCGATCGCGAATTTCAGGATGGATCGCTGGTACCGGTTGGACGAGACGAGTGTATCTGGAAATCGTGGCGAGGATTCGATCAGTTCCTCGCGAGAAGGACGGTCTGTTACTTTTCAAGACTGGCTGTGAGTAGATGTACCGCGCGGCAGACTTGAAAAATTGCATTTTGTATTCAATAACTAGGCTGTCAGTCCGAGCGGCGGCCTCCTATAACTCAAAGCGCATCCACACATCCACGTAGACATTGCCTCTCTTCTCCGATCGATCGATCTCTCCTCTTTCTGTGCAATCCAACCTTCGTAGGAAATACTAGTCACTCGCGGACCTCCGTCGAAAAGAAAGAAGTTTCTCCCTTCTGCGATCATAGGCCGAGTTTGGAGTTGTCTTGTTAGATGTACGAATTAATAGATTTGCGGCTGACAATTTTATCTAAAGCAGAAAACTTCTTTTAATTAAATATTCAAGCCTGCATCAACATTATGTTAACAGTCGTTTTATTTTGTTTCAGTTACAGTTGTTTCAGTTACCAGCGTACCGGATCCTGAGTTCATTGATGAAATAGGAAATATCACAGTGCCAGCAGGACGTACTGTAAAATTAGCCTGCAGTGTCAAGGACTTGGGCCCATACAAGGTAAATAAACGTATTCATTTCTACAAATTTGCTATAGCGCGCCTTAAAACTTACTTCGCGAAATTTCCTTCTACTTGGAATATTTCGTACAAAGCACGAGCCAATAAACGTGCGACGTCTAACAAATGTGCAGGGCGAAGTTTCTGGAGGGCGGCGGCACGTTCGCAATCGTAGCAAGGAAGATCCGCGTGTTTTGAGATGAGAAACGCGTTAGCCCGTCGGACGCGACGAGCGTCACGATGTATGCTAAGTAAGTGGCAGCAGGCGCCTCGGAAGTTCTCCGTTAGCTCGGCGCTGATTACGTGGCGTCGTTAGATCACGAGATCGAGCTGAAATCGTGCGGAGCTTTGATGAACGCGATTCATCAATGAAGGAGCTCGTTAAAATCGAAGCGCGCTCTACGTGAAACGCTGGGAAGCTTCGTGAACGAGCCGAGATATACGCGCGTATCCTGGTGGTAGGAAGAAGGTGTTCTTGAATAATTTTCTCATTCGGTGCACTCATATCCTGCACGTGAATAAATTAATTGCTTTCTCAGCGGGCGTTTTTAGTCCGAATGTTTACGAATTTTTACGCGATGAAAAAGGATATTTAGGCAACGAGTTTCGCTAGAGATATCGTTTACCGTATATATCGAGAAGTGTTTGGTATCTTGAATTAATTATATCAAGGACAAGCAATGTTTTAATGACGCGATGCTGCTATATTGAAAGCTGCTCCCCAAAAATTCAAGAATTTATAAGAAATTTAATCTTATCTTGGCGTTAAATTAACACATTGTAAAAATTAAACTTAAAATATAAACACATATACTATTAGATAATGCATAAATCTCAACTCGATACTCTCTTACAGAGATAAGATCTCTTACATCGTACAATTCAACAAAGATTCGACTGCCCAGCAACTTTTTATAGGATTCGAAGGATATAATTAACTACCAAGAGCTGAATAAATTGAAAAAGGAAGTATATAGCTGCACTCGACACCAGTGTTATTCGCGAGTATGATTGTTAAGAAATGCCAAGGCAGATGCTTAGAAACGAGTTGTTGAAAAGAAGGAAGAAACATACTCAAAGGACTGCAGTGGCTAGAAGGGGGCATAGAAGAGGAAACGGACGACGAAGTTCGTCGGCCACCTGAAATTTTCTATCCGTAGTAGGGAGGAAGATTGAATTGGCATCTTCTGGACTATCGCCAACTCGTACGTCGCGTAAGGGTCGTCGTGTCGTCGTCTTCTTGCCGTTTCTCGAATCTTAAATTCGGAATCCGTTCGATAGGATCCTTCGATGCGTTTAGGACGCGGTGACTTTTCTTTAGTACTACGTGAATCTTCGAAACTTTAATTTTACATGCACGTTCAGAGCGAAGAAGCAGGATACGTGGAAATCGATTACTGAAACGAGGCAAATCGCTAATACTTCTTCTGGCTTATGGAATTGCAATTTGGAAAATTGACAAATTCACGAAAACTAGTATATTATAAGATGGAATTTATTTCATGGAATATTTGATTACAATACCTTATCTCGAGATTAATTAGTTGAAATTATTTCGTCAATTCAAGAACTCGTAACGTTTCTCCGCGTTCTCCGTGTATTTGTTGGTCTCGAAGATGCGGTTATGAAAATATCCTCATCTTCAGTCACTAATGAGCAAGAGAAGTCAAACTTTGTGCATTTTAATTAAAGTTCGTCAGATCGTAAACCAACAACCTTTGTTAAGTATAGAAAACATAATATTAAAAATAAAGAGGTTACGTTCGTTCTATAATTAATCCACGTGGATAGAAAAAGCAAATGTAAATTACTCGAAGGTATCGAATTAAATCAACGAATGTACCTATATCGATGATCTTTTTCCTTCAATAGCCAACTTTAATTATATCGTCCACGCTTAAAAATATGACGTTTATCTAAATTCGACTCTTTTAGACTCGTAAAATTACATAAGACTCGTAAAAATAATCTAAAGAGAAATCCCCCTTTAAGGGTGATTACATTTAATCCTTTTGATAGGATCCTGAGAACATCTAATAGCACTATAAAGACGGCGACGGTTTGTCAACGATCAGAGGGCGTGAAGTGATTCTATACCTCGTTATACAAGTTGCTTCTAGCGGGCAACCCTTCTTACGAGTCGTATAGCGACCCCTAGCGGCCCTTAGTATTCCGTGGGAAGGTCGCCTAGGGATCGACACCGCTAAACACCCGCTTAGATCGAGCAAATCGTATCCTCTAACCTGGATGAACCTTTCCACTCCAATGTTTAGTCGGTTTACTATTCATTAAATAGCGTAACGCAATTACATCGAAGGAAAAAGAATCAAATTTTGTTACAAAAATTTTGTTGTCGCCTTAAATAAAATACTTCATTTTCCAAACCGGATAATTTGAAATATGATGGTGAGACTCTATGGTGAAGAGACACCAAAAGAATCCTAGCGGTGGTTCTTTCATACAATGTTATCTGATTGGCCTTCGGCGTTTCATGGAAAATCACCGCGGGAAGTGACATCGCTATACACGCACTTAAACCGGTCAGCTCGCACCCTCGAAGCGAGACCAAGCGATTACCTTACGATCATCCGGCTCGCCACTCGTCGCATCCGGGATCGCCTCGGTATCGTTGCCGACGTGATCCGATATCGTGGTCACATTTATAAGTTTATTCGTCGTTAGATCAATTTTACAACTACACCGACGTGAATTTTCGACATGTTATATGGTGAATAGGGAACAGGCTGCTATTTTCATGATTCGCAGTCTCTAGTCTTTTTCCTTAACCTGGATCGTTTTATAAATCCTTGAATCGTCGTTTAGTGCTATAACCACATGGTGGAATATAATTCATGGTATATATTTTCCTTATTTCTAGTATAATGTTTCACTTTTCAAAAGACGTGTTGTTAAAAAATTTAATATTTGACCCTTTTGCTCTTGACGACAAATTTTACATAAATGGAACATCGAATATTATACGAACCAGCAACGGCGCGAATAAGTTAACGCGCCTCGAGAAATGTAAGCTGGATGCAAGAAAAGCTCAATTTCTTTTACGGTTCGATCGGGCTAGTTCGACATCACAAATGGCGTCAATAATGCTTAGGATTCGCTGTAGAAATATTCGCATTATGTGAATCTGTGGCCGTTTATTCGTTTGTGCGGATGGGTCTGTGGTGAAAATCATAACTAAAAAGGCATCTGTCAGTAGAATATATCTACATCGTACAAGAAAAGTACCACGAAAAGAAGGTATTAAAATTCCTCTGTCGCTGTTCCGCTGCGCCGTCAATACAGAGACAGTGAGAAGAGTCGATTGCCGAGGAATTTCCCCTTATATTTATTGGCTTCTGCGATGTAAGACATTCGTATGAACGTAATTCGAAAATGTTTTACTTCTTTTCTTGTTTTTCTTCTTTTTTCTAATTGGCTATGGTTAATTATACTAGTTAGTTACGTCTATGTTTATTCATCGTAGAAACGACAATCAAATGATAGCTTGTTAACGAAAATCATCAGGTGTTTCAGTCCCACGTTAGATGGAATGATGATGAATATTTTCAAGAACAAAATTCGCTAATCTCAATTTACAAATTCCTCAGAAATGTTATAATCAAAGGTATTAAAAGATCTTTACGCAAATATTCCCCTACGTTAATAATTCTTGCGTAAAAATTACCAGGAAATAAGTTGCAAGAACAACATGAATTTTATTTTCGCGTTATGGATAGATACAAAGCTTTATGCAATTAGGAGAACCATATATCAACTGAAAGTCAAGCAAACTAGAACTCTTTAAATATTTATCTGAGGGAAAAATCGATACATGACATTACGAAGACAAAAATTTCGGGTTGCTTGTACAAGATCGTTATCGAAGTTGCTCACGACGCGTATCAAGGCTTCATCTAACCGGGGATCTCTCGATTTAATGATATTATTTTGCGATACTGGTCACGGCCTACATGCGATGCTGGACCTCGTAACGTGGGTAGATTGGCCGGAACGATCGACCTTTCTACGGAAATAGGACGAGGAAGAGATGCCTGATAAGAAAATGTATATTTCGATCCTGACTCAGGATGATCTTTCCGTCCGCTCCTTCATTTTACGATTATGAAAGAAAATTGTCCATGACAAGCTGGATACATAGAAATTGACGACTCGTGAATATCTCTTCTGATATAACATATATTACATTTTATAAAATATTACTCGCGGCTTTTATTTTTCGGGCGTTCCGCACCTTTTAATTTTTTCTATTTCAATAATACATAAAACTTGCTAAAAGAGCATGGAAGGAATTTTAGGTGTTAATAACTGAAAACTAATTTCAGTGGATATATTTTGGTTAAAAAATTAATATTGTAAGGAATTTATATTAAAATGAATAATGGAACGCGTAATGATAAAAATGATAAAATTCTTGGAATATTCAAATAATTCATGTGGAATTTATTGTGTGAAATAATTTGTAAAAGTGTAAGATAAACGTGATTTTATTCTATTGTCGCTGTTTATAATGAGATGTTAAAAATATATTCAAATTTTAAAGATAGTAGTAACGAGCAATAGAAAAAATTTTCATTTCAACGATATTGCACCCGCTCGAAACCATTTTTAGTGAACGATAAAATTCTTCAAGTACTATTCATAAACTTGCAATAGTCTTGCAATTTCCCCCCGCAAAAAGAAAAGAAAATATTTTTTAACGCAATGTACCATGAGCGATACCTAGCATAAACTTCACTACCATTTTGTTATTTATTTATCCCAGCGCTTCATCTGTAGTAAAACGAGCGACTCCTCAGAATTTTTCATCGCGAGACGATTCTTCTTCCGCCTGTATTAAGTTCTATTCAGATTATTCCCCAATTAACTAGCCTGAATGATTTTTCAATTGATCCTTGGCAGACAGACCGGCATCGTCGCCGTCAACTTCCAAGAGGTTCGTTATCCACGATTTCCTTCTGCCTTTCTACAGGAATGGGTAATGAA